AAATGCACTGACTAGTAGAAATACGTTTTTCTATTTGAGTAGAAAAACGGTCACAAATAGAGATCAACACAGGAATGGCCAACTTTTAAAGACTTATGATCGACTTCTGAATTTTTCTAAGTTTTCACGATTGACCAAAAAATAAAAAAAAAAGATTGTAACTGAATAAAAATACATTTTATATTCATGTCTCACTTCAATTTTTCATTTAAATAAATTTAATTTTACAATTTTATATAACACATATTTTAATACAAAGCGATAATACCGTTATTCAATACAGAATATCGTTTCTCTAACAGCAACAACACCTATCTGCAAATTTTCCATTTTTATATTTTGATATCAAAAAATTCAGACAAATTTTGCGCATATTTTTATACATGACCATGGTAATCGTTAATTAAATATTAACCACAAAAAATAGACATTAATCATAACCCGTATCTGATAATGTAATGTGACTAACTATGCTTACTAGATAAGGGAGGTTAATCTCTGTTATGACATGAAACTTTACAAACGGTCCGCGTATTCTTGGTTGGCGCAATAAATTATTTTTCGTCACATTTCGTTTGATATATTTTCAATTTTGTACATTTTTCTTTATTATTTACGTATTTAATAATTTTAATAAATATTTTTGTATTTGAAATATTGAATTTTATAACTATTCAACTATGCCAGTGTCTTGTCTGGTTTATGGATGCTTAAATATTACTTTTTTACGGGCGAGATTATCCAATTCATAATATTGAGGATAATATTTATTATTATATTACTGGTTTTATTCTAAGAAAGTTACTTAAAATAATTTATTGTTGTCCAACATGTATGGAGAAACTTATAGAACAATCAAGTAAACATAACTATAGTCATAAACATGTATATTCCATATTAACTGATGTAAAAAGTAGAGTAGGATTATTAAAGAGTTCGAATAGTGTTATGAAATTAATTAAATATATTGAAAATTTTTTAATCGAACTAATTTGCTATTTTACTTTAATTATATCTGGTTTATCTATAAAAATAATAATTTCAGCAAAACTGTATGATTATACTCGTAATTTCAATATTTTACAAAATATTACATGTTCCAATAATTCATTTTTAGAAAATCATAGATTATATTTAATAACACTTATATATACATATGTATATATATATATATTCGTCACCACACGAAAAATGGTATTTTTTCTCCAAAAATATTAATGTAAACCTAAGACTGATAGTTAACTTTTTCTTTCAATTCATTGTTTTTCAATTTATTATTACTTTTAAATGCAATCTAAATACTGGTAAAAAGTTGTTGTGACATATTTTGGGTATGTTTAAATGAAATTATATTTTAATTTACTATGTTTTTGATTTAATTTTTTTTTAAAAATGTTCGGGATAATATAGACTGGTTGTTTTTTTTATTAAAATATTAGTATAATAATATTGTTTATATTTATATTGAAATTATTTTTTTATTTTATATATATCTTACACCAATTGGCAGTTAAAAATGATACATACATGTAGGTAATAACAATTTATTAACAGCAACAAATTATAACAAAGCTAAACAATAAAAATAAAAATCGTAAATCATATTTAAATACTATACAATATTGATAAATTAAGCTGCCATTACATATTTTTAATTCAAATTTTTAAAACATTGTTTTTTATTGAAATGTATTAAAAAATTGTAACAGTTATATTATATTAAATATACATAATTATTAAAAATATTATTATAAATTGTTTTAAATTAAAAGTTTTTGCTGTCGGTTACATGTTGTTTCTTATTTTTTTAAATAATTCAATAACACTTAACTACAAAAACAATTACTCGTATCTATAAAATTATTTGTTAATAACAAATTAACTTAAGTATATTATACATTAGATTATGTGCAATATACTTACATAGTTATTTGATCCCCGTGTATAGTTTCGTTTTTATGGTAATTTATTATTATATATAATTACAATATATATTCTTTTGGATATTTTCGTTTTTTATTTAAAAAATAATGAAGTAAAAACTTATATATAGTAAAAACTTACAATTCAAATTTGAAGTGAAGATCGGGAGTAAATGAAGTTGAATATTACAGGGCCAGTACTTATGTAACTCTGTTGGTGCATGTGTACATATCCAACGATATAAAAACGCATACGCCTTACGGATTACACTGTAGCCGTAGTAATAGTCGATCCCATGTGCCGTTGGTAATTTGTAATTGTGTCTAAATCGTTGGAAGTAAAAATAATTATCGGAGACGTAGAAATGTGAGTAAGACGATCAGTAAATAGATTTACTTAACTATACATTTTAATAGATAGTAAGATTTTTTTTTTAGACTTTTATTTAATTATCTATACATTCCTGGGCTTTACAAATAAAATACGTAATTACTCGTACTAATAATTAAAAGTGCGCTTCGACAAAAATTTGAATAATAACTAAATTACACTTAATAATGGCATGAAGTATAATCTTAAATATAAGTGGAGATGCTATACTTATGTGCATTACAATGTGTAGTATTTCAATACCTACTATTAAATAATCAGTACCTACGATAGTTTCTAAATAATATATAGACGTCGTTTGGATGCATTTATTAGATTATTGAATTTTAAATGAATTATTTATAATCATAATCAATAAATCTTAATACTTGCTATTAATGAATTACTTTTCATCACTATACGTGTGAGTCTAAGTAATACTACTACAATATACAACCTAGTAGATAATTAAAACGGTACAATTCAAAATATTTAAAAATACTCGCGTTAATAACAAGATGAGAATAATCCATTCAAGTGGCTATATTTAAAATGTGAAAGATTATCACTTAAATGAATCCTCCTATACAACTACATATTTTTGTAATAAAGATTATTATTAGGTATACCTAAATTAATTTTGTATTTATTATAAACATCTAATATTTATATGTAACATTGTAGAACTCAAGTATTTATAATTACTCATAATACTAATACAACTATAATAATAATAATATTAATAGTAATAATTATAATAATAATAAGAATGTTAAGAATATTAGCAGCAATAATAATAAAATAATAATAAATATGTATACAAACAGAACCAGATCAGCAGACAGATAATAAAATAAAATAGTTAAATAGTTTAGATTATGTAGCCTCATTTATAAACTTCAATATCCAATTTAGTTTGATAATTATCATTATGCTTGACACTAAAACCTATTGAAATATGACCATAACTATTGAAGGGGGTGTCAAAGTTGACAGCTTAACCACCAAAGTCTAATTAATTAATTTTTAATATGATTTAAGTACCTTTTTATCGATATAATAGCAATGAAATCAACCATGCGAAAAATTCTACTTTAAACTAAACTAAACACTGTGTAATATAATACACTCTTAATTTGATAAAATAATTGTGTAGATTGGTAATACTGTGCAATATAAAAGGACAGCTTTCAACTAGGTCGAAGACACAATTAGGAGACATTTCATTATGACGCTGTCGTGATTGTACAAAATAAAATGTTGACAAAAACTTGATGAAACCCGATAATCTAGTAATAGTATCAAATTATGTGACTGTGAGCTGTGGTGAGAGTAAAGAAAAAAATATGTTATTTTGTTCGGCCAGACACGTTATCGTTTTTCATCGTCAATGTCCTATGAAAACAAGGATATGTCAAAGGATAAATCGCAATTATTTCCCCCAATATGTGGGGTGGTACGAACAAAAGCGGTAAGAGTTGTTTATTTTCAACTGCGTGGGCGGAAGTGCGGCTTCTATCCATCCAATATTAAATTGATTGTGACAGCGATTGTTTTTGTTCTGCACGAGGACGTAAAGCCGCGTTTACATGATCCATTTTTGGATGAATCATCAACGATGAAGCATTTGATATAGATAGTTCTAAATTTTATATATTTACTAAACGTGTACACTCGGTATGCGATATCAATACGATAAATCAAACTAATATTAATAAATACGAATAATACTCAATAACACGTATAATAATAATCTGTTTTAGGACAGTTATGCTGTGGTATGCTGTTACTCGGAGCGTAGTTTGTAAGTATACTGCATAGTATATAATACTATATAATTATGATTATCATGGGATTTCCTAAGCCACAGATTCTATCACTCTACATACACTTTACCACTCTTATCCCGAATCTTCTATTAATAAATAGAGTTGAAGGCAGAAGCGTACTGGGTCTATTTTCCCTATCGGGAAATTGGATATAATTAGGGCCCACTTACTATACATACTAATATAAATGTGTGGCATGTATACATACGACATAACGACGTGTCTAAAACAATAGCCAAGTTGTTTAGGTACCCATTTTTTACACTAAGGCAAAACTATAAAATAACTATGAATCTAAATAATAAACCAATTCTACATTTTGATTTAAGTTCTATAAAAATAAATAAATACACAAAAATGTTAAAATAATTATTTTTATTTAAGTGATCTTGATTAAATTGTAATTAAAAATTAAAAATAAATTGTAAAACCTTGTACTTTATAAAATATGAATTTTCAACATTCAACAATTTTGAGTTCAATATTCTTAACATTTCTGTACTTTGTTCGCACATTAAGTCAATTACTTTACCTGGTCTAATTCTGGCCAATCTTTCATTTTCCAAAAAATCCTGTGAAAATTCACTTTTACAGTTCATCAAAAACAATGATTCCAAATTATCTTGTGTTAAAAAACTTCTTAAACGTGTTTTTATAATTTTAAGTTTAGAAAACGATCGTTCACACGTTACTTGAGTAAGAGGAATTGTTAAAAGAAACTTTTAAACTTCAAATAATCCATTATACTCTAAAGCAGGGGTGGCGAACCTATTGCACGCGTACCAAAGATGGCATGCTGAACAAATTTTAATAGCACGCGTAAAAAATTGAAATTATTAAAAATTGTACACAAAAAAAAATATATACTATTTAGAAAATGTTGTTTATAAGAAATTCAAAGAAATAAATTATATATATTTTTTTTTATTATTTTTATTATATTATATTAAACGGGTATTTAAACCCTTTAGAAAAATAACAAAGTAATTGTGTTTACTTATTCAAACTTAAGATTATGAACTATATAATTTAAATTTAGTATTATATATGTATATGTATATGTATATGGAAAAACAAAATGATACAAACATTTTAAGTAGGTAAAAATGATTGTAGTTATACATAATGTGGAAGAAAAAATAATTAGGTAAGCAATATTTTATAATTATAACAATAAAATTATAATAACAAATCAAAAATATGATTAATAATTCAAAATGTAAACTTAAACAAGTAGATTATGTAAAGTAAGTTATACATATAACATATGTTTTAAAAATGACAATATTCCTTATGCTTTCATATTTTTTGTCAAATTATATTTGTGAAAGTTTATTCGCCATAACTAATTTAATTTCATCGAAGGAAAGAAATGTTTTAACTGATGAAATAATTGCTGCTTTTATTTCACTAATAATGATTAAAATTTAGTTAAATTTGTATATTAAAATAATACTAGTTCTCAACAGCTGATAAGCCTAGCGGAAAAAAAAAATAAAAAAAATCTCTAGTTATTTTTACATAATATAATTATATAATTACCATCAAGTTGTATTACTGAACTGGTTTTATTGTAATATTAACATGTTTATAAATGGCGTATTTATAAATAAACTGAGTCCTTAAAGGCAACTCACAACGAACAAGAGAGTAACTGAGACGTAAGGGCATAATTATGAGGGATGAAGGGGATAGATCACCAACAGAGCCTATTTTACTAATATTTTGCAATAATTTATATTTTACAATTACTGTAAATTTAAATTTTCAAGAGCTTTAATGGAACTGTACTTGAATAGAATTATTATCAGCTACTTTGATGACAATCATTTAACGTAGTGTTTGAATTCTTTAATTTGACTAAGGAGTATGGTGGAGTGGATAAAAGTAAAGTGTATTGTGCTACATAAAATGTACACTTGTTTAAAACATAGTACGATTTTTACTGTAATATAATTATAAAATAGTTATGGATAATGACTGCTGTACACTGCCGCTTTGAATGACTATTTTCATTTAGCTTCAAATCCGATTGAAATATTATATTATAAAAAAAATTAATTTTTCATTGAAATTGTTGTTACTGAGACAAAAACCTGAAATTAATGGTTAGTATTACTTAACAGAAAACACATTTTTGAACGGTACTCCTAGTAGAGTAGTTTTTGGAAGAGGAAATTATGTAATGCAATCAAACAACAGAACATAGAGCAAATATAAAATTAATGATATATTATATTTGTTTTTAGAATCATAAATTTGTATACATAAAGCAATAATTTATAATTATGTAAATGAAAAATATATATGTATATTATATATATATATATATATATATATATAATATTAAAAATAACAAGCTCATAATAAAATAATATTACGAATACTGTATTTTTTAATAAAAAAAATAAAATGTATTCTGTCATAATAAAAATAATAACCAATATATGTAATAAAATAATAACAACCAAATAACCATTTAAGGTTACCAACATTCATAGAACAAAAGGGATAAATTACATATATATATATATATATGTATCAATAAATGAAATAATAGTATATTATGATAAAATATTAATAATAGTCATAATGGAATAATAAGTGATTAAAAATTTAAAAAATCACAATTTGTGGATTGGTAGGAGGTTATGATTAAATTTGAAAATAAATATCATTCTTTCTCACCTATACAATAAAAATAGACTTGCAAAAAATAATGCACAATAGTAATCAAGACCAATATAGATGAAACGTGGTGATATTTTAAAATAATATGTATTTGGTACTCAAATTATTGCCACAACTACCAATTTTTTTTATTAAAAAATTATTTAATTATATTAGCTGTTGATGTTGTGGTATTGTTATCATTGCCTCCAATGATACTGATTTTTTCTGGTTGAATCGGTGGTGGTCCTGATATTTGTAAGTCATCATCTAATAAATTGACGACTGGCGTAGAGATAGATGTGACTGCAGGAAGTTGCTGCTGATAGTACTGTGACTGCTGTTGATTTTGGCTAAAGATTACTGGTGTTGTTGCCATTGATGGTTGCTGATAGTAATAATTATTTAAAGCCATAGTTGTGTTATTTGGTGTTACAGATGCTACAGTCGTTGATGGTTGATATTGTGGCAATTGTTGATAATAATTATTGCCATTAACGCTATTATTAGATAATGATGATGATGGTTGCTGCAGATTAGTCGTTGATGTATTTGATTGCAGTTGATTTTGTGATTGATATAGTTGGGATGGTTGTTGATGTTGCTGCAATGATGTAGGATAGTGCAATATTCCAGAAGTGTTTTGACCGATGTTTTTCAACTGAGTTTGTTGTAGTTGTTGATACATTTGGGGCTGTTGTTGTTGATATAGTTGAGATTGTTGCTGATATAATTGAGGTTGCTGCTGCTGCTGGTATAATTGAGACTGTTGCTGCTGATACAATTGAAGCTGCTGTTGTTGTGCAGGCAGTTGATTGAAATAATTAGCATTGGTAAAAGTATTACTGCCACTGGTAATGGCAATAGACGAATTCACTGAAGTGGCTGGACCACTATTATTCACAGATATTGACGAAATTGAAGGCGAAGACAATGGTAATGGTGACTGTAAGCTAACAGATATACTACCATTTGTTATTAATTGCTGTTGCTGCTGTAGAAATACTCCTGCAGTTCCAACACCAGTTGTGTCATCAGAGATAGAGGGCAGTGTTGAAATTGGTTGTTGATATCGCTGTGAATAAAACTGTGGTTGTTGAGTTGGGAGCACATGAGACGGCTGATGGTAACCAAAACTTCTTGAAGCACCATAGCCAATACCAGTAGTTATATTAGCAATAGTACTACCATTACCAATACTGTATGGTGTTGGTAATGGCCGTTGTAAAGCCGCTACTGCTGCTGCTGCCGCTGCACTCGGGAAGACGCTATTACCACTATTGGCTCCCATGCGAGTAGTATTCAACAAAGATGTTGCAGGTATATCAGTAGTACTACCAGTTATAGTATTAACATTATTATACGATGCTGAAGATAGTGAAGGATTTGTTGCTAAATTAGCTGTGGGTAATTGGTAGTTGTAATAGTTATAAGCCAAGACCGAAGACGACCTTGGCGATGAAAGAGATGCAGCAGTAGAATTTATAGAAGATGCTATCGCTGTTGAACCAACTGAGACATTATATTCAGCTGTAACTGGTGGAAACATAGTATGAGCGGCTGATTGTTGTTGCTGCTGGGCAGTATTTATATTGCCATTATGACCAGTATTAGCTTTAATATCAGATTGGTCATCATGATAGTAATCATAGTAACCAATAACATCACCACTGACACCAGTGGTAAAAGTAGATGATGATGGCAGTTGTGTTTGAGAATGAGAATACTGATGGTAGTGCTGTTTTTGCTGTTCTGATCCAAGAGGTGATAGACGACGTAGATGATGTTGTTGGTTCCAATGACCACCCAATGGTACTGAGGGCTTGTTTGATCCAACACTGCTGCCAAAATTTTTGATTAAGACAGCTAAGTCTTCTTGATTATGATCTTGGTTATCAACAGTCGAAACAGCAGCTAGTAGATCATCAAGACCACCAATGTTGGTGGTCAGGTCATCTTCTGGCTGTTGTTCCCATTGTCTGTGCTGTTTTATTATTTGATCGCGTTGTTCGGTTTGTACTTGACATGCACCTTAAGTAAAAGAAAGCATAAATAATTTATTTGATATAAAATGATGACAGTAAAAATCATACATTGTGCCAAGTATATTTTAATTAAATAATAAACAATATAGTTGATTAAATATTAGATATTTTAATGGTTTACATACCTTTAACACGTTGTAATAGTTTTGATACATTGGTTAGCATACGTTGATAAAAATCTAGACCCTTTGCACAACGTTCAGCTAAAACCGTATCTGGGAGTATTCCACTAGTCGGTGATGCTGTAACCATATCACTATTGGTTTCTGATGGTGTTCCTCCATTGGCAATTAAAAAACTTTCATATGCATCCAACAATGATGCTATTACAGTTCGGCGTCGTTCCATGGCATTGGCGTATGCACGACGTTCACGAGCAGCACACGCGTAAGCTGTTCTTACTCCATCCAACACATTTTGTTGAGCGACCAAGTTACGCTCAATCAAATTCACCTATTATCAAAAATTTTGTAAAAAAATTAGTCAATAATTTAGAAAATTGATTCGACTTAAGTTTTTATTTTTAAATAATAAAATAAAAATCAATCTTAAAATTTAAAAAAATAAAATACTGAAATTATTCAAACAGATAGACATAAATAACTAGAATATTTTATACATATGAATATATATTACTATTATGTGATATAATGAAAACATTTATTTGTACACACCATGGTACCATATTGATCGTCTAACTTTTTTTTTACTGCCATCGAAACGTCTAAATTAGATCCTCTCAGTTCTACAAGTACATCTGAATCATCCTGTCCAGCAGCTGCAGCTTCTTTATCTTCTCGATTCATTTCCTCTCGAAGTTTGGACAATAGCATCTGTCGCTGCTCACGCACTTCTTGCATTTTGTCGACTACCATTTTAAGCCGATCTAAACGCATTATGGATTCTCGTTTGGACTGCCTCAACCGTCCACCAGTATTATCATCTGACTCGGAATCTTCGTTTGGATCGGATGACTCTGCTAAACATATGAACACGTTAACTTTAGATATAAAATTATAGATGAAAAATTCGAATGGTTAAAACTAACCAGTAATAACTTACCAGCGGAATTGTATGATGAAGTTGAATCAATGCCGTCAGCAGTAGCGACTTCAGACGCGATCGCGGATATTGATGGACGAGCTGGTGGCAATCGGGCTGCGAGCTCATCCGGTGGCAGAGCTAAAAGTTCTAGATCTCGACGACGGCGATCTCGGACAGCTCGACTTAACGTAACCCAGCTATCCCGAGCCCGTCCAACGTGTGCTTCGCGGTACCGAGAAGCTTCTCGTCGTAATTCTCGCATACGGCCAGCGGAGTAATCATATGGCCTACCTACTGTTCGTCGATATTCGGAATCACCAAGTTCTTCAGTCTTTGATTATATTAATGTCATCCAAAAAATCATTGATAAACGTAAAACAAATAAATGTAAACGAATGTTAGTATGATAAACAATCTTAAATATATTTAACAGATGTTTAATAATAAATAGTACCTTCAAAAGTCTATCTATTTCGTCTAGCATACCATCCACAGCTTGAACTGCAGCTGATAGCCGATCCATATCAATGTCCAATTGGTCCTCTTTATTGGCACTAGAAGGATCTCTTTCTCTTTCTTCTCGTCGCTGGTGTAACAAAGCTTGGTATGCAGCGCAACAGTTAACCAATTGCTTATTATGGAAATTATCACAAATGATACATAATACATATTCAATAACACTCAAAATTATAATACAAAATATGTTAACTACTAAAGTAAGAACTTACTTGTGGTAGTTCATTCTTGATATTATTCTCATCATTTTCATATTCATTACTATAGTTTTTGTACATATCTAAGCATTCGAGATGTAATCGGTCAACAAATTTAGTCAGTCGATCATCAGCTTCCTGACATAATGATTGAACATATGCTTCCATTGCGCGCTTTTCTGTTCTATTATTAAAAAAAAAAAGAGCTCTAAAGTAATGACTGAATAAATACAAAATAAACTTTATAAATCGAATCTAATTAATATTATGTCTTACTAAATATATACAAATAATACCAGTGTACTCAATAAATTCAAGTAATTTATTTATTTAGAAATAATATAAAAAAAAGTTTTATGATTATGTTTCAAATGTATTTAATTATTATTTCACGAGTAGATTTTAATTGTTGGAATATAATAGATTCACTTTTATTGTTGATTAATTTATTCAATAAAAATAAAATTAAATAGTCATGAATATTTTTATAATAATTTCTACTTTTGATTATATAACAAAATTACAAAAAAAATCAAACATACATTAAGATATACGAATAAATGATAAAATTATTATAAGCCTAGTTGAATACAATCATATATATGAATAATTACTCATCTAAGGCATAAATAGGTTGGTAGAAATAGAAACTTATTTTGTTGATAATTAAACAAAATTAATCAAAAAGGCAAGACAGACAATATATAATAGATTACAGGTCACAGTTACTAATTATTTATATCCTTATTCACAAAGTATCAAGTGCTGTAAATCATGTTACTAACCGGTAAGTAGCTGCTCGATTACGAGAAACTGTAGGCACTATATCTCTAAATAGTGTAGTAACAGTAGATGTAAAAGATGATGATTCATTGTTAGAAACAACAACAGCTAAGAGCTCTGGATCATCAACACTGAAGCCTATGGGCTTAACTAATGATGCTCCCTTAACTCTGTCTAAATTATGATGTTGACTACTTGATGTTGAAGAAGAACTATTTCCCAAACAATCACTATCGTCTTCATCAGACAATACAGGTATTACAGGTTCATGATAAATAAGTTCATTTTCTGATTTAGCTGCACGCCACTTGGCAGCAGCTACGTCCATGGCAAATGATAAAGTATCTCTTCTCATCTCTAATTCCTATACATATTAAAATTCAAGTTAAAATATAATAATAATAATAAATTTATATAATAGAATATATAAATATAATAATAATAATAAAAGCTCAGATTTAAAATATGATTTAACATACTCACATAAAGAGATACATAAAATAAATAACATATATTTAATTATTTAATATGCAATTTGATTTAATTTACAAATAAAAAAGAGTGTAATTTAAAATTTGGACTCTGGAGAAAAATGTTCAACCCCCATCCAAGTATATATAATAAGATCTAAGGGAATGTATTCACTTTACTTAAGATATTTTATGACATCTAAAAAAATACAAAATTTACATTTTCAAGATCTTAGAAACTTAATTGAATACTGTATATAATATTATATATTTATATAATAAAATAAAATATAATATTTTATATTATATTATATCACCATTTACATTGCATAAAAGATTTCTGTGATCTTGGTATATTATTCAAATAAAATATTTCCCATAATATATACATCCTAAATATTAACAACAAATCTTCTATTTTAAACTTCATTACTAGAAATAATTAAGACTTTAAAATCCAATGTACATTAAAAACTCTATTTATTTCCTTAATTATATCTTAGCTTGAATATAATTCAGTAGTTTGGTCTTTTTACTTAAATACGAAAACCAAATGCATAATGAACATTCAAAATCACTTTCATCATTTCATGTCTTTTAAATTTAGTATTATGCATGTACCTCAATCACCTTATCAGCCACTTTTAAATATATTTAATATACAATTTATCAGATAGAGGAAAAAAGTGATCAAGAATAATTGTTTATTTTTTTGATTAATTGTCTGTCCTAAGGAGTTTTTTTACATTTTTTATTCCTTTATTTAGAACTAGGTCATCAATCAAAAATACACTCTATCTGAGTAATCATAAATCTAATTATCCATTTCTAATAATAAACAAAATTATTTTGTTAATTCTAATTTGAACTCCTTTATTCTTTTAACATATACATAATATTAATTTTTAGACTTATTGTCTATGATATATTGATAATAATGAATGTATGTAGTTATTTTTCAGCAAATATTATTTATATTATATTAATATATACTATAAAATATATTATCAATTATATGTAATTAGGTTTTTACTAGTAAATAAATAAATATAATAATAATAATGATTAATGACAGGCCGTTTAGATATATATTTGCTAAGAATAAAACCTGACATTTAATACGAGTAATAATAATAAAACTATAAACATCATATTATTTTCACTATGGTCAGGATTGGACAAGACAAATCAAAATTATGAATTAAAAATAAAAACAGGAATAACTAATTATTTTTTGAATAAAGAATATTTTATTTTGAATAGTTTCAGTTGTGAGTAAAAAATAAAAATTATTCTGGATAATTGAACTTGTGAATAAAATAAAATTTTTGTTTAACAAACTTATGAAAAAAATAAAAATAGTCAATAATAATTTATTTTAATTTTTAGTTTCCGTGAGACAATTGATAATTTAAATTTGATTTTGATACAACCTTATACTCAATTAATATATATAACTAACCCAGAGAGTGGGACCTCACCTTCTGATTCTTCTTAGTTAGGACACTGCAAATAAAATAAGGCTGTATATTTTAAGAAAAACTTGTATGGTTAAATACTAATAATTAAACATCATACATAACAGTAAAACTTACTTTTGAATCATTTATTTTAAATTGAGGGAACTAATGAGTAAATATAAAAAAAAATTTAAAAATCATAATACATTCTGAAAAATTTTAAAATGTACATATTAAATAATTTTCAAGTATTAATAATATTTATGATTCAATTTTAGGAAGTATAATTTATAATATTACAAACATATATTATATTGAATTATCATCCTTAATATTAACTCATTAATGATAATAAAATCTGAACCCAAATAATTTAGTTTATAGTGAAGTTGTTAAATTTTATAATTTTAAAATAATTATAATAAATAATAGGAGTTCATAAATTTAAAAAAAAATGATACATAATCTTACTTTAGTTGCAGCTAATCGACCGGAACCAATTCGTCCAACTTCTGAATCCAAATAATAATAATAATCATCATCAGCCGAATCATCTTCTCTTGACACTAAAGTCATTGACTTTCCACCGTTCTCTGATATCTGACCAGCCCGTCCAAGTAGGTTTACTGCACGTCGGTAATATGAAACTCGAGTGCCCATCTGTTGTAACTGATCTTGAACGTGCTGGCCTTGAAACAGGGCTGTAATGGCTCCATAATACCGACATTTAAATTCAGAGTATAGTCGCCATTTCTATAAAAGTAATTTGATAATGTTTAATAACATATTATCTGAAAAGTAGATTAGTTTGCAGGGTGATATTACTTACTTCAATCCTACTTGCGCTAACACAGTATGGCTCACGTTCAACTCTGAGAACTGCATTCACCGCACCAGCAAAATATTCACATATCATAGCTGATACTTTAGCTGTATTTATAATAAAATAGGTAAATTAATAACAATAAGAATTATGCAATGTTTATGTGTAATCATTTATCCCACTTTCATTTAAATACAACCAAAATCTAGTTATAAAGATAATACTATACATATAAACTATTTTATTTGGTAAATTAACCAAAATGTACTTATTATTACATAAATAATATAAGGGAAGCAAATAAATTTTTATTATATTTATTTATAATATTTAAAATTTACATATCAAATAATTTCCAATTATTAAAAATAAATTATAACTCAATTTACGAACCAAAATTATATTCTAGTCATTTAAAATTAATTTAATTTTAATAACGTATTTGAGTGCATTATTGGGTTCTCAATAAATTGTTTTTATTTTAAATAATAATATTTGTTAATACATTAATGTCTGTAGGCACCACGAATCAATGGAAACCATTCAATTTAATCTGACAATGGTTTAATTAACAATCAAATAAAAATGAGTACATCACAATTGGTTCCACCAAGTAGTGTTCTATTGCATAAATTATTTCACATTAAGTATAATGGCTCATCCATTAACTATTGTTTTTCAACAATTGATCACAAAAAATTCAATTGATATTACTATAAAAATTAATTGATTTTACCATTGATAAATGATATATATCTAATTTAAATAATTAAAATTTTTAATTTCATTTTTTTATTAATTACTTGTCAAATATGGCTATAAATAGAAGTAGAAATGTGAGAAATGTGACTGATGTTGAATTGTTGTATATATTTTTACACTAAGTTAAATTTAAAAGTATATTTATATAATAAATAAAGTTATTGATGCTTAGTGCAACAGAGCTAAATTATTTTACACAAATATAATAAAATGTTTACTTAAACATTCTAATGCTTTCTTAAATAAATAATAATAATGAATTAATAAAAAAAAATGAAAGAAAATTATAATAAGTATATTTGCATGAATGGTTAGCTCTTAATTCTGGAAGTAATTGAAATTAAATCATCATTTTCAGAAATATTTTTTGAGAAACAATAAAAATATTGTACTCAACAGAACAACTAAAATCTTACGAAAATATAAATCAATTTTAACATAATATATTGAAGTTAGTTAATAATTAACTGTGTAGTTTTAGGTTAGTATAATTTTAATTTTAAATTAATATTTAGTGCTAATTGTAATAAGTTAAAATATGTTATTGAAAAAATAAAATCATTCTGACATTATCTAAATAATATTTTTCTTTAAATTTAAATAAAAATACCATGTAAATAAATTAATAACTGTGCATAAATTAATAATGAATAACTATAATTAAAATATATTAGAAGTATTTGTTGTATTATTTATTCTCAAATAAGATTATAAACTCAACATTCAAGACTTAAAAACATATTTTTAGAGTTCTTATTATACTATATTTCTAATAATTACTCATTAATAAGATGTTTAGAGTAAATTATTTACTATTGCGATTGCAAGGATTTTATGGTTATATTTTAAAACACTTTAAAGCCATATTAAAAGTTATTTTGAACTAAATAAAAAAACAATATCAGTACCAATTATGAGAGGTTTTCGGCCATCCATCATACTTTTCTCCAAAATACACTCTTGTGCCTGTGCAAGTGTTACATTGTATGCAAACTCAAGAACTGCTCGACTTGTAACTGGTGGCTGTTGTCGATGATGCCATTTAGTATGTTCATTATTATTTTCACCATTGCCAAGCAATTGCTATTGTCAAAAAAAGAAATTCATAAAACTTATAATGATGTATAGATACATTCACATTCTTTGAATTGTTAATTATGTGAATATATCAGTTCTCTTGAGTAAATAAAGTACCTGAAATGCCCACGCAGAGCACTGTAGATGTGTACAAGCTATTTTAAGAGCTGTATTTGATGGGGATTCCTCCCCTGCTGTGGTTGATGTATTAGAAGTTACCAATGGTGGTGATCTGTCCTGTGCTGAAGCTAGACGACTATGTGCAGCACCCAAATTGTACAGTACGCATCGCATCTCATACCCAATGTCACCACTGTCTACTACAAGTGAAGCAGCATCAATATCGTTAATACATCGGTTTGTCTTTCCACCAAGAGTTCGTTTCCTACACCACGATATTCATTATTAGTTTAATCCATGTAAAATTGAAAACAATGTACACCAATGTAATAATTGATTTTATAATTTTACCATGTAAAAGTTAAAGCTGGTGTTGGTTCTTCAATTTTAGTGATTGCAACATCTTCATAAGGTTCTTTTACTCCAACAATTTTTTGTTGCATGAGTTTGGGAAATTTATCGGTTATTCGAACTAAGTGTGCATAATATCGTTTTAATGCAGTACAATCATTTACCGAGCAAACAGATGACATCACAGCATTCATAGCAGATTGTCTTAGTCCAAGCAATGTATCTATGTCTGCAGAATATAAGCTAGGATCTCGACCATAAGATTGTCTTATATGCTGAAAAATTATTAACTTAATATTACTCAAGTACATCAATTTATAGACTACATTAGAATAGTTACATTTAAAAACAAAGAAATTGGTAGTTTTTTTTTTCATTATATAAAAATTAAATTAGTCATAGATTATGTATTCTAGTTTTAATTTATTTTAATTATACCTATTATTCGATACATACTTAGAAACAAAATAAAAATACTTATTTTTCAAGAAATCAACACTATAAATTTACCAATCAATTGTTATAAATGATTTACCAATAATATAATTTACATATTTATATAAAATAAAATCTCGATTGTCTGTGTTGATGAATAATCATGCTCATTTGTACAAAAATGTATTTATATCATAAGTAGAAAACGAATTTATATGCCCTAAAAAACCTTGAAATATGCTCTTAAAAATATGCAAGTATGAATTGAAAATGCCATAAATATGCTTGAAAATATGCACTTAAAAATGTTGATATATGCATTTATTTTCAAAAAAAATCATAAAATATGCATTTAAAACACAAGCTTTTAAATTTATATATTTATATTTATTGTTATTTATTTAATACATAAGTATAGAAATATATGAAATTAAAAAAAAAAAATTTATTAAAAGTTAAAATATGTACTTTTAATTTACACTTTTTAAACATAACACTCCTTGACTGTTCACTCTTCACACAACACTATTTCAATAAAAACATTTAGAGGTATAGTTGTTGCTAGATAAATTAGCATGGCAGCGGTGAAACGATAAAGGAAAACAAGTGGTTCATTAATTTAATTCTTAACTTAACCATTCAATACCTCATCTAAATATTATCCATGTGTGTACATAACACATGGATACCTATAATGTCATGGTAGATATTAGCTGTGTGAACAAAAAATCGGTATGAGGCGGCACAGACGTTTAAAATAAGATAGTTAACAAAGGTAACAAAATATTAGCAATTTTCTTTGACAAAAAAAAAAATAGGACTGAAAATATAAAAAGATGTTTAGTTTTTTTTTCTAATGATTTCTAAAGAAGTAAAAAAAAAAAAATTTTAATTGTTATATTTGCAATAATGACCTATAAAATATCAAAAAATTAAAATATGCAAAATTAAAGTAGTGCATTTTTAATCTCCAGTATGTGAAACTTATTTCTATCTCAATTAGCAATCTTTTGGACTAACCAAAAAAATATGCAAAATGCATATAAATCCGTTCCTCAATCATAAGTAAAGGCATAGATTAGCAGTAAACTGTTAAAGATGATATATTAATTTAATAAAAAATAGGCGGATTAATATAAATATGTTTACAGAAGTAGTCCATATCATCTTCAAAAATTCTGTGAAAATGTTGACTTCTATGATATCATAAATTCAAGAAGAATTCGAAGTGAAGTAAGAAAAATAATTTCAAACCATAAACAAAAGACAAAAATTAATTACTTCAAATTTTAAGCCCCGATAATGAAAAAAAAAATTAAATTAAATATGTATTATATAACATACACACATACATATATACATATATATATATATATATATATTTTACTTATTTAAAATATTTTAATAAATAATAGTAAAAAGTAAATTAACCAATTGACATTGTTTGAATGAATAATTATTACTACAAGGTAATAATTTAATTTTAATATAACCATAAGCATTATAGACTTATTTATATTTACTAATAAGGGTCAGTATTTTAATCTTTGATATTAATCTAGTTGCTATAAGATCAATTTAAGCATTTCTTACATAAATTACCATTTATAAGTCTGTTATCATAAGAGTAGTATTATAATTCTCAGCAATTCGTAAATAAAATTCAGTAACATACAGATTTGATAGTTTTAACCATAAATAAGAATTTACTCGAACATTAGATAAAATTTTAAGTCCTATCATATGTCAAATACATGCATTTTAAATGAGGATTTAAAACAAATTTTTACATTATTAGGAATTATAAATAGGTTAAGCATTTATTCATTTCTATATATAAAATATTTTTTTATATATTAATAATAAAGAAACAAAAATCTTAGCTTTGCTGAAGAAGAACAATTAATGATTTGGTTTTTAAATAAGAGTAAATTAATTAATTAAATAAAATATTTATAAATCATTGATAACCATAAGAATTGAATGGTACATTTATAAGTATGCTCTGTTTAAAATTAAATTTTTAGATACCTACGTTAAAAAAAAATAATAATAAACATGATATTATCATTTGTTATTACAAATTAAGAATATTAATGAGCCAGCAAGGCACAAAATAAAAACAAATAATTAATAATCACATGATTCAGAGCCGTTGCAAAGTCGGGCGTATGATTGTCTGCACATCGTTTGGCCGGTATACCAATCATATATAACCGTGGAACGCCTTCCATATTGGTTCAAGTTGCTTCTTCCTGACGACCGCTTACAAGCTCAGGATATCTGATAGTGCAATCAAGAAAACAATGAGGTCAGTCATGCAACACGTTCTTACTACACAAAGCAGCAGCAACTGCAGCCGGCCATCAAAGAAAAACACTTAGGTAGTCCACCAGTCGGTGAAAAATTATATTATCAAAGCGCTTTACACCACCGGGACTGACCTGTGGACTGTCGGCGCCTGTAACGAGAACCGCGTTATTAGCACGTTGCGATAACACAAACGGCTAGATTGACGGCCACTCCCGCCGCCGCCCCAATGAATATTGCGCCCGTACCGGACTTGTACGTATGTGGTGCGTCTGCCGTGTACGCACAAAAATGGTCGCGCATCAGACTCGTCGAATCACGATTCCGCGTACATTCGACATCCACCGATCGCACTGGGAAAACGCGTCGCGGGCGTACGCAGTTAAAACGCTGCAAAGGCTTATTGCCGTCTCGATTGCGCACGGCGTTACGATAAGACGGAACAAGACCAGGCAACTAATCTATCGCATAATTGCGGTTGGCGACCGCGATTAACGGCGGATCGGACGAATGAACACCACCACGATTACATTAATTCAATTCGTACGTACGGCGACCGTCGCCATTTCCACATAGACGGCCCCGATAACGTGCTATCACTGCTCAACCGCCACTGCCGTAGATAACAGTATCATCACTTATCGTCGACCGTCGCAACCGCCCGGACAGGACGGGATGATAGAATTCAATAACAACTATTGGACCAATGCTATGTACATCAATACTGTTACGAATATTTAAAGCTCGGGATATCATGATAAATGTGAAACGTTTTTTTTTTCTTTCTACAAACGAATGGTTGTCTATCCGTGTGTACTAATTTTCACTTGGAATTAATATAAGCCAACCGAATTTGATATAGATACATCGTTGTATGTTGTTCAATAACGTTCCATACTTGTTACAATACTTATACTAATATTAGTTATATCTATGATCTCAATGGGTTTTGTTGACGTATATAACGGTACACACAAATATTAATATTAAACAAACATTTTTATCTTTCAAATGACAAATTTTTATGTATATGTTACCAGCAGTGTTGAATATGGAATTCAATAGAATGCCAAAAAGAGCAGGAAAAGTATAACTTTATATGATTTGGTATTCCAAAGAATACCAAAATTAAGCAGGCAATGTATATAGTTATTATACAATTATATTTTAGTTCTCCTTAATAAAAACATTTATATGTTTGACAATCCTAAATACAATATTACAGTTAATTTGCTTATTATATGTTTGTGAAAATAAGTAAAATAATGTTGTAAATTAACTGATTAAGTTATAAATATGTAATTAATTCAATCAAATCCAAGTTTCAATTCAGTGTTATTTGATAATTTATTAAACAAATATGTCAGAACATTTTTATATCAAATTAAATAAAACCAGAAAAAGTTTAAAAAAAACCTCGTACTTTTATCAAATGAGAAATACAATGAAATATTATGTAAAGTTTCCCTACTTAAAAATGGCCAGAAGAAAAAGAAAACATCATACAATTATTGGATGAAATTTTTTTTGTAAAACAAAATCTTATACCAAAAAATGTTAATGTAAAAAAATAATAAAATAATATTTTACGTAATTCAAAGTGTCACACATCAACTATATGCAGCAATAAAAATAAATTATTAAAACAATGAACATTTTTTGATTAAATAATATTCTAAAATTCATACTTTCCTTAAAGTAGTATTGATGTTCTATAGAAATCCTAGGAATTTTATAGATTGCCTTGGCATTATTTAAAATAACATTTAAATTTAATATATTGCCAAATAGTACAAGTTATTCTACATAATGTCTCTATTCAACACATTGCCAGTAAAATATAAATGCAATTTATAATTTGCTTATTCATTATACTGTACAACTATTGTATCAAAATTTAAATACAATTTAATTGTTAATCAATACCTTTAACATAAAATTAAACTGCACTTTAAATCAAATCCTCTCTACATTGTAGTTTGATGATTAAGTACTTGATTCAATGGTCAGCATGTTACAATTTTATACAATTATGACTCATAGGTTATCAATATTTAATAACAAGTAAGTGTGTAGCTAAAATATATGATATTATACACATAAACCTGAATAAAAATTTATCGAAATTATTCTAATACTTTCATATACAATACATCAATACATTCTAATTTTTTCATATAGGTATAGCCACCTTCAGCGTTAAGAGTGTTCTTCATCAAGCAAACATATGGCCCAGATCATAACTACGGATGTATTGAGAAAGAACTTCAAATACTAGATATAGATCCTAAAAAAATATCTTCAAAATACAATTATTCTTACACCATCAATTATTAATTTTTTATTATAAATAAAATACCCTGTACTATACTAATTATAAGTGAATTATTCACACTGTAATATAGCAGATAAATACAGTTAATCACTTTTTATATTACTTAACATGTTTGTCTTATTTAGTAGTCTGTAGGATAATTAGTCATTGGTTTATATTACACCTCGTAACATTAGTATTGTATCAACTATACTTATTATTATATATTATGTATATTTGATCCTATTAATAAATACCTTAAGCTTTTGTATATCTGTGTACTTCAACATCAACAAACATGTATAAACTTATTCTAAGTATTAATATATATTATTAAAAGTAAAATTATTGTTTCATAATTTGTGAACATGATTTTTTTAAATATCTCATTTTAATCATTCTTCAATTGTATTCCATTCAATAATCGCAATATAGTTTCTACAACTCACTAGAATATTTTAATTATATACTAAAATAATAATCTTATGTTCAATATCGATTAGTAACTCTTAAGAGTATTTTTTTTATACTCATCTATGTGCAACCAAATAAATAAGCATTTATGGCTAACTGGTTTTTTAAATTATGTAATAATCAGTCATACCATTAGACTCTACGGGTATTTTACTGTAATTTAGTTAATATATATTTCATTAACTGTACATTTTCAATTCACAAACACGTTTCAAATATCATTTGCCAGATGTATAAATTATTATCGAGAAATTATATTTATTTATTTCGATGTTTATTTTGATAGTATATCGACAAAATTTTAGTTAGTAACATGTGTTTATTTTGATAATATATTGTCGTTTCGATTATTTTCACCAACCATAACAAATTGAAAAAATATGGATTGCATTAGTACCTACCACAGACTTCTATACTACACATTACTACATGTAGTATAGAAGTCTGTGGTACCTACAACTTTACACGTCCGGAGTTGTTATCGCCTATTGTGAATTATCAGTTGGATTATGGATTTAAACAGTTATTGACGATTCATTATTATTTTTATGTTTAACTTTTGCGTTTGTAACTTAAAAGTATAGATTTAAATAGGTATTTTAATAATCTTTATTGGTTAATTATGTAAAATCTCTTTTTGTAAGCATTATTATACGTTCATCCGTTTTAAAATTAAATAATTTAAAGTAGGTAAATGAAATTTTAATTTTATATTTTAATATTTATTTTATTTTATTATTTTATAAAATAGACCCAAATGCGTGATGACACGTGAGTTGAAAATGTGTGTGCTGTTAGAAAATCAAAACGTGCTATCACGCGTGAACTAGGAAATATGACGTGACACGCGTGAGGTGACATAAGTGTGGCGTTGATACATTAAAATACTGTATAAATCTATATCCTACACTTTTTTCCCGTGACGTGATAACACGTGACAGCACGTGAGCTCACGTGACGTGACAATATTCTGTTCCCACCTTAATTAACAAAAAAAAAATGTTGAGTTATTTAAAGAGATTTGAAAATTTCATGTTTTTTATGTATGTTTTTCAAGCTGTTGATAAAATTAATTTGGTTTGATGAAAAGTATTGAAAATTGTATACAAAGTTTTATACATGCATATATTTTACTGCCTAAAGAAAAAAATTAATTTTATTTTCAAATAATCAAAATAAATGAGCCCTTAAGTATAAAACTTTAACTAGATGATAAGAATTCATCACAATTTTATAGTTTATAAAAGATAAAAAAAACTATATATAGAAAAAAAACATATTTTTACATTCATACATCGGAAAGTCGTAAAAAGTTTTATAAACATTAGAAAATGCATTTCTGACAAAATTGGGTACTTCAACGAATTTAGATTTTAAAATATTAGTTATTTGGTTGTTATTTTATAAATGGTACGTTGGTTTTAAATTTAAAAGTTCAATATAGCAATATTTAATTTATTTTATTTGTATTACATCAATACAATACGAGTATGTATATTATAATTATAGTTAATGTGAATGAATGACCAATATAGTAAACAGTGAAGTATTTTCGGGTTATTTGTGGGTATTTTTAATAAAAGGAGATATAGAGCAGAGGGGGACTAGGTATTTTTATGCCCAGGGAAAATTCTAAAATTACGCCCTATCAAAGACCAAGAATCAAATACCATACCCAAGAAATGTTTTCTAATAATTAGCATACAATCAGACTTATTGAGTTTTAAATACATCTCGTATCAGTATTAAAGTTAAAAAAATATAAAACTAATATTCAATAATAGATTATATACTTACTACAAAAATTACACCATCTATAATTGAATGCCCTGGAATGAATCCCTGTCTTCCTCCTTCTAGTTCCACCCCTGCTTGGTAGAATGGATAATGGATTTTTGGAGATTTTAACTAGGAGTTTCTATTTCACGTCTATCATAGAATAAGTACATACGTGTTTTTAGAGTCCAAGTACCCGGTATCCATTTATTAAATGTCCATTTATACACGTAACGTGTATTTAACTCTTCAGGTGGTACAAGGGCACGGACCTTTTCAATTGTTATTTAAGAAAAATCAATGCATAATATCTACTATAATTTTATTATTTTATTTTATTTTTTAAATGAATATAGTAATATTATATGCATATTATATTTCTATAAAAATAAAAAAAATAAATAAAATGAAATTTTAGCATTGTAAATACATAATTTTAAATATATTATATTTAACATTTTTATAGTAATTATGAGAATTATTTTGCACTTAAAATAATTAATATTTCGATGTTCACTAACTTTAATTTCATCATGATATAAAATTCTAAATAAATAAATTTAAAAAAAATTAGTGGCACTAAACCCTATTTTCCGGTAGTATCTGCTATATCTGATAATATTTCAATTTGGAGGGGGGTGATATATTTACTACAAAACAACAAGGTAATTGTGTAAGATCATTTCATGAAAAATATTATTTTAAAGAAATTTCACTTGGAAGTTATGTAAAACGCAATTGGCTATCATATTCTCCTTCTACCGATTGCGTCTTTTGTATAGTTTGTAAATTGTTTGGATTGCCAAATGGAAAACATGATCAATTTTCAAAACTTGGAACTAATGACTGGAAACATATTTCATATAACATTAAAGTACACGAATCTGCACCAGAACACTTACTGTCAGAAATACGCCGAGTTATGTATACAAGTCAATTAAGGGTTGATGTGCAGTTATTATCACCATCAAATTCACAGGTTGTAGAAAATAGAGAAACTGTTAAAATAATTTTTGAAGCTTTATTGTACTTAGTTTGGCTAAACAATGCATTTCGAGGTTTCAGTGAACACTGGGGTTCATCCAATCAAGGTAACTTTGTAGAAATTGTCAAACTTTTAGTTAAATATAATCCTTTACTGTCGGCTCATTTATCCAAAATTCAGAATGCAAAAAAAAAACAGATTAACATTTTTATCAAATGTTAGTCAAAATAATATGTTGAGTGTTATGGGTGAAATGGTATGAGAAGAGATTTTGAGGAGAGTTAAAAAAGCAGGTGTATTTTCAATAATTATAGACACAACTACTGATGTTTCAAACTTGGAGCAGTTTTCATTAGTCTTACGTTTTTTTAATGAAGAAGGTCAAACTGAAGAGACTTGTTGCTATGAAAGAAGCCCCTGATTCCACAGGATTGGGAATGTTTAATGTTTTTTGTGATATTTATAGTAAATATAATTTAGATTGGACAACAAAGCTATGTGCTCAATCTTACGATGGGGCTGCATCAATGCAGGGACAATATTTTGGTCATCGATCTTATGTTCAAGAGAAAACCCAAATGCTATTTATGTTTGGTGTTTTGCACATATCTTAAATTTAGTTATTGTGGATACATGTGATAAATATTCAAGTATTAGAAATTTCTTTGGAGATGTTCAACAATTGATCACATATATGAGGGCAAGAAAACGAACAGCCATATTCCTAGAGCAACAAATTAAATGCTATCCTTCTGAAAGGCCATGTAGAATGAAAAACTTCTCTACCACCCGTTGGACTTCTCATGATCGTGCATTATCAGTATTAAGTAAAAATTATTTAGCTATTCTAAAAACATTAGAAGAGTTAATTAACTCAACTGATAGGGAAACTTCTTCAACTGCATCAAATCTCTACAGAATAATTACTTCATTTAAGTTTATTTTGAATTTATTTTTAATGCAAAATATTTTATCTTGTACTACTCCATTATCAATTTATTTGCAATCTTCATCTATCGATTTCATTCAGGCAATTACTATGGTGGATGTTTGTGCTAAAAAATTATCTGAATTAAGAAATGAGTAGAGCTTTAATGATTTAATTACAAAAACAAAATATTTTGTTAATGAAATTGGTTTAGTTGAATGTGAGTTGCCAAATATACGTAGCCGTCGTAGGAAACTGTTGCCTGGAGAAATTGTTTCTGATGAAGTTATTACGAATGCTAATGAAAAATTTAAAATTGAAGTTTATTATGTAGCATTGGATCAAGTAAATACTTCTATTATAAGTAGATTTGAAGGTGCACGAAATATATTGTCCAACTTGTCATTATTGACTTTTGATCGGTTAAAGGCAACTAGAGAAGGAACTGAAATTCCCCAAGATAATTTTATTGCGTTTATGAATTGTATTCCTAATTTAAATCTTGATAATTTAAAAATGGAATATACCATATTTACGAGTAGTTTTATTAACTTATACAATGGTAACATTTTTCCAGTATTAACTCAAATAACGATCTGATTATTGATAGCGAAAATGAAACTAAACATGATTCTGACTCATCTAATGAAATAGACAGTAAAGAAGAAACTAAAAAAAAACTTTCAGCAATAGAAATACTTAAAATGCTTTGTTCTTATAATTTAGTTGCAGCATTCCCAAATCTTTTTGTAGTATATAAGTACTTATGCACTATTCCTACAACATCTGCTTCAAGTGAGAGATCATTCCTCTAAAGTAAAACTTGTTAAAACTCGACTTAGATCTACTATGATGCAAAATAGACTTGAAAGTCTCGTGCTAATATCATGTAAAAAAGATATAGTTTTAAATCCAGAAGAATTTTTGAACAAATATGCTTTGACATCTTTATTGCTGCAAAAAGAATTGTTGTTCAAATAATACTTCAAGTTCGATGCCAAATCATATATATTCATACCTATTTTCTATATTAGTTGTTATTTATGTGTTGTTTATAAAGTATAGGTATAACTGTATTAGATACTATATAAACTGAGCTTATATGTATTTTGATGTGTTAAAACTATTTGTTATTATTACATTATTAATGTAGAGTATTGTTATAAATTATATTTATGAACTATTCTGTATATAATAAATTAAAAACAAATTATATTTTATTTCATACCAAAATTACATGTTAAAATTAAAGTTTTGTTTTAAATATACTTATTTGCATGCCTTAATACATGTAGGCATAATTAAATTAATATAAATAAAATGGATTTCCTTTTTTTTGTACAGAAACACCAATTTGTACCTGTAAACATTTATTTTGTACACAATAAAAATGTTAAATATGATTAAACGGTAATATATTTTTTTTGCGAGCGAAGCGAGCAATTTTGGTTACATACTGTTTTATGTGGGTGGGTGGGTGGATCGAAAAATTATATCTGGCTCCTTTTATTAAAATTGTTCACCACGCCACTGCGTATATCTGTAAGTTTTCGTACGATAACAAAAGACACAATAACTCAATAAAAAACAGATGAACATTTCATAGCATATCTATATCAAAATTACATAACGATAATATCATAATTATAATATTATAATATTTTTATAAATTCATAAAAATAAATTTTATAAAAACTTCTAGACCTTAAATATATATGTAATTTTAGTACATGGATTGATACATATTTTATAAACTTGTATACGAACTTCTAAAATACATGTAATTGAATTAGATAGAATTAATAGGTATTAATACATTTTATTATTTAAGGAAACAAACTACGTGTACACTTCTATAACAAGACACATACCAAACCGAGACCTCTAGTTTAAATCATAACGATTTACATAAATATTATATATATATATATTATTAAAATATTTTTTTTTGTCATTGATGAATCATTTAAATAATTCAACTTTCAAAGCTATATAAGAGATTATGATGTTAAAATTATACAATTATATATATTTCATAATTGCAGCAGGCTCAAAATAAAATTATCTGCTGCAATATAAGTGAAAATACTAAAAATTATTTTTATTTATTATTAATAAACACAAATACCATAAAATATCATAAAAAAATTCAAAGTAAGTAATATTTACTTATTGGTGTAAAATAGGTATAGCTTTAGGTAAAATCATATGTATTATGAAAGTTGTAAAATTTTAATTTAATTTATGAATAATAATACTTACAATAATAAAAACACCATTCAAAAATTAGAATGTTTATGCTATATTTTGTGAAAAGTAGTTTAGATTTAATGAGAATATACATTTTTTGCATGCTAAACTATAATTTATAAACTATATATTGATATGATAAGATATTATTGTATTATTAAACTAGAATGTTTGAAACGAATATTTTAGTTATTTGATCTTATAAGAGTTCAATTTAATTTAATAAAATAAAATCCTTGTTCCTCAGAGTTTGTGTGTACGAGTAATTATATATATATATTACCATTGAATATTAATGATACATTCTAATATTTATAGTAATAATGTTATTTACATGTAATCAAAAACAAATAATTTTAAATCATAATACGTCGTTATTTTACTCAATAGTTAGTTAGATATTTGATATACTAATATCTATCACAGGGGTGGCCACAACGAGGTTCGCGAGATCTACGCGGCTCTTAAACCAGTTTCGAGCGGCTCTTGAATCAAATTTAGATTAAAATTAATAATTATTAAATTTTGTTAGAATCGTTAGAAACAATAGATTTTGTTTTTACTGACGTCGGTTTCATTATTATTACAGTCGTTATTAAGTATAAACTGGCACTGCGGTGATGCTTTTAGTATGAGTAGCCAAAATATGTCTTCATTTTATAAACATCGCTTTACAATGTGGCTCACCTAGAATTAGCTTTATAAATTTGCGGCTCCCAAAGTTAAGGTTAGTGGCCACCCCTGATCTATCATGTTATGACAATTCTATTTTTTAAATTAAATAATGGAAATATATATATATATATATATTATCTAATATTCATTGATCCAGATTTCTCTTGGTAGACTATGTTTTAATTATCAAACTCTACCATATTTGTAACTCAACAAACATATGACAATTTATATGAATATAAATTAAACTAATTTATGTATCGTTAAATTAGTAATAATTTATAATACGTTTATTTTTATGAGTTAATAATATATATTTCAATCTTAATAAATTAAAAAAAATAAAAAAGTGATAACTGTATTAATGTACTACGGAAATCATTATTTAAATGCTCATAAAGAATAATTTTTGTAGATTTTGTGATGACGTCCATCAATATAACTTTTTTTTTTTTATCCAACTAACATTGACAAATGCTACATCGTTGGATGCGCTGTGAATGTTTGAACGTAGATATGAAATAATATTCAACTTTTGTCCGATAATTTACGATTTTAGAGAATTTTTGTTTTTGTACATTTTGTGATGACGTCATCAATTAAAATTAGTATTTGAAAATTATAATTAGTTAAACTAAAAACCAATCTGATATTATTTTATAAACTGAAAATATACTTTTGTCTGTCAATGTATTATATT